AACATATAAACTCTATTACTCGCTTAATTCCGTTTACTAGCCGCAGTCAGCAGCTTGTGGCCCTAACAAACTTACATTTAATGCAGCTCCGCCTTTTCAGTGTCATTTGCATTTTTTATATTTTGGTGGCTCGCTCGCTCGCTCGGTCGATTGATGTCGCTTCCTGGGTGCCGTACAATATGGCCGTGGCATGGCATTTCTAAATGGACGCCATAATCAAGCGCTAATAACCTCATTTGTATGTCCAAGCGGGCCATTAACTTTTCATTTGCCACGCGAAAATGTTGCATTGAGCAAATGCAAGCAGGAGGCAACAGGCAGCCGGGCACAGAGACCAGATGGAGATTGTCCAATGGACTTGCCAACCGACCAGTCAGCGATCCATCGTGCCACTCGTTTTATTCCATCTCTCTCTCTCTCTCTCTCTTTCTCTCTGGCGACCCGCTGCAGTTGGACTTGGACGTGAACATGGACATGGACATTCGCTGTCAGAGCTCGCACTCGGCCCGGCCATAACTTGCGTGAAACATGTTAATAATTTACAATTTGGTATTCATAAATAAAATGTCATCCAGACTCCTCCGACACCGACACCGACGCCGCCACCGTCCGCTTGTTGCTGTTGCTGTAGCTGTAGCTGTTGCTGCTTGGTAATGAGCGAATGTTGATTGAGGTTATATTTCATGGCAAATGGGTGCCGTTGCCTCTGGCAGCGCTTGGGAAAGTCAAAGTCTTGGCGGGCACTGCGAGGCGCATGTTTAACTCGTACCCGGAGTAGGTTGACGTTTGACATGCGGCTAAATCCGCCAACTGCCATCGTAAAGTAGCCCAGGAGGTTGCGCCTGCGCTCCAGCACAGTTGCTCCATTGGCTGCTGCTGCTGCTGCTGCTGCATCTCGGCTCAACTCTGATTAAACTCTGGCCATTTATCGTCATTTATGGTAATTGTTTGAATCGCCATACGCAAGCAGCTCAGCTCAATGGCAGCCGTGAGATAGTCAATTTCCCTCACCTTCATATCGCGCTGTCCCTCTCCCTCCCTCTGTTGATTTGAGCCGAGCCAATTAGCAGGCGGAACCATATGAAGTATGTCTCCTCCCTCCACACACACACACATTTACTGTGAATATCTTTAGATAGGCCCAAAGTTGTTTTTCTGTATGAAACTTGAATGTGACTTTTAGCCTGTGCAGCTCGTACTCCAGGAACCGAAGGTATTGGGATCTATTGCTGAATATATGTTTCTTCTTCTTTTTGCTCTCTTATAAATACTTTTTAACAATATATATATTATCTAGTGGGACATCTCTTGGTTCTCTAGTTCAAATATCGTTATTCAGTTCATCTCTAAATAATTTTGTCATTTAATCTTGGCAACATTATGATTATGGCATTGACAAATGTCGCTGACATTTCCCGTCACATATCCTCGATAATGTTTGGAGCAATGTGCTGGAATGTGGCCGGGCTGACACCGAGTGCCGTTATGCACAATGGGCGACATTTAATTGCAAGCAGATACATTTTGTCAGGCGCGAGTGACGTGAATAGATGCCGACTCTGTCAGCCCAGTCAGCCAAGCTGCATCGGCATCGGCATCTGCATCCGGGCGCTGCAACGAGCTGGCAAATTAAGTGGGTGCCGCTGGCTCTGGCAACGGAATGGCTCCAACTGTGCGACGAGAGCTGTGAAGATGTGCGGCGACAGGCGCTGCAGTTGCGACAGCACTGCATCTGCATGTGCTGCAGTGAGTCTATTCGCCTCTCTCTCTGTCTATCTCTCTGCCTGTCTGTCTCTGTCTGCCTCTGTCAGTCAGTCTGTCGTCAAGTGCGATACATTTCCGCGTGAGAAATGCGCAATTTCTGTTTATTTAATGCCAATGCATTTCGAATGCGCCGCCAACACGCCATCAGTTTTCAATCACGCGCTGAATTGCAACGCCCCAGCGTCGTTCCTGTCGCTCCCTACCCGACTCCCGACTCCCGACTCCTGCCTCCTGCCTGCTGCTCCCATGTTGCATGCCATGATTTACTGCGCACTTGTTGCGCCCCAACGCCAACACCAACACAACAACAACAACAACAACAGCAGCAACAGCGACGAGATGAAGACTAAACGTTGCAGCAGCTGAAAATCACTTTGCAACTTTTGCATCTTCTCATGACGCTGGCCCCCAAAGTGGTGT